GAGGAGGGGGCGTTTGCTCGCTGTTGGGGCGCTTGGTGTTCCCTGAATTTCAGATCCGTCCTGTAACAGATCCCGTCCACTGGCTCCAAAGCCTTAGCGAGTTAGCGCGTGAGGCGTTGACGTTTCCTTTGACATGCCCTCTTCGATAGGATTAGCGCGGATCCAGCGGTTATCTCCTTAATTGAGGAGTCTAGATCTACAAATCCGACCTCGTTGGAGGCCGGAGGGGCGTTACAAGGCGTGATTGCAGCAGCAACGGGAGTGTTGATCTTCCTGCACTTGAGTGGGGGAGGATCTGAAGGAGGATGACAGATACTCATCGAACTTCTGTTGGTCGAACTCGTACTCGACCTCTTCTTCAACCGGGATCCGGATCTGTGGTTACAACACGACAGCTTCGACAGCGAAGCTGTTGGCTCCCACTGTGATCGTCAGCGTGTTTAGGACAAAAGTTGATGCTTTCATTACCTTGAATCTATTACAACTTTAATCGTTATAATAAACTCAAATGAATAAAAAATTTTGATCTTTTTATAAGATCTCTTTTACAATGACAATGAAAGATTACAACTCTTGTCAAACTACACATAGATCTTATTTATTAGTCTATGTTTTGCGTGAGATCTTTGCATGTGTCGGGGACGTTGATATCCGTGGACCACCGCGGATCAGATCCGGTTGATAGAAAATTGACAAAGCTCCTACTTCACCAAGAAAATATTCGCTTGAAGCTCTGAAATCGACCAAGTGAAATCAGTAGCTCTTCTCGAGATTAAAACCAAACCTAATCTCGAGGAACGGACGGACGAGGCTTCAGATCTCTCGAACTCTCCCTCTTTATGCTGAAGAACTTCACCGTGATCAGTTAGCCACCTCTAAAATTCATGCTCCCTTGCTCTCCAACTCCGCAGCACCTCCTCTTCTTGATAATCAATTGCCCCCTGTGAAAGGAGATCCTAGACTTGTATTTATAGGACTCCAGATGCGGGGTATTTGGATAAGAATAATAGATTTGACCATATCTTCAGTTGACAACGGCCTAACCATGTTTGTGGATGATATCTAATCAGTTGAGATGCTCTGGAACGAACAAATCCCGAGAAAACAGCAAAAAACCGTCAAAAACGTGTTTCAGGTAGTTAAGGGCGCGAAACAGGTCGTGCTGACCCACAGGGGTGCGGGTCAGCCGAGTCTGACCCGCGCTAGCGCGGGTCGGACAGATACGATTAGCGCTTGCGCGGGTCGGATCTGGCGTGGGTCGGATCTGGCGTGGGTCGGATCTCCGGTCGACAGACTCCGACCCGCTCTGGCGCGGGTGCCAGCGCGTCGTGCCGGCGCGGGTCTGCTGCCTCAGTTGAACTCCTTTTTTTTGCACTTTACTTTCCGGGACTTGTATTTTCTGCCGTTTCACTTATTTGCCTGTCGTGTTGACTTGTACGCTTCGTTAACTTGTTTCATGCGCTCGTCAACTTCTTTATGGCACTTAGAGCTGACCAACGAGCGCGGCGGGCACTAGGAGCTGACTGACGCACGCGAGCTGACTGACGAGCGTGTTTAGTCACTTGGAGCTGACTGACGCGCGCGAGCTGAACGACAGGTGTGATGACTAATTGGAGGTGGCCGGTGAGCGCACAAGACACAGCTGGTTCGCCATTCCGGTTCATGCACTTGTCAACGTCAGATAATCCTCTTAGACTCGGATAACGGCGTTCGTCATCTTCTCTCCGTCTCGAGCTGTGTACGGACACCTATAGGCATTTTTAGACGCCTACAATATATAGTATGGATGAAGCAAATAATCGTGCTATGAAGGTGGAAGCGCAACTCATCCGTCTCAATAGATATCAAACGAGGTTTGCAGAATCAGCAGAATTTCCAGAACCAAACGAGAGGAGTTCAGCCGAAGCGACATAATTATAATCCCTATACTCGGACTCAGGGAATAAATGCTATCGCTGTCAACAGACCGGACACTTATCCAATAACTGTCCTAACTGTGGTAGAGTTAATATGATTAAAATGGAGGACAGCGAGGAAGACGAGCTTGAGACTGAGGTCGAACACCATACGGTCAATCCTAATGATGTGTATGACAAGGACGAGTGCAAGGTGCGTGTAGTGCGCAGAATGATGTTGGCAACTGAAAGGGTTGCTGAGAACCCACAAAGGCATAATTTTTTTCGAACTCGTTGCAAAGTGAATCAGCATGTGATTAAGTTGATAATTGATGGTGCTGGTCAAGAGAATTTGATATCTCGAGAAGCAGTAGATAGACTGAAGTTGCAGACACTGAAGCACCCTTTCCCTTACAAAGTCGGATGGATTACATCTGTGGGTGATATCAAGGTCACTGAACAGAGCATAGTTAATTTCTCTATTGGCATGTACAAGGATACAACTATTAGTGATATTGTTGATATAGATGCATGTTAGTTAATGTTGGGAAGACCGTGGCAGTTTGATGTGGATGCATGCTATAAAGGAAGGGAGAATGTAGTAGAATTTACTAAAAACAAATGTGAAGTTTATCTCAATGTCCCTTGACAGAAAGTAGTGTTCCTAAAATTAATAGAAAATCTGCAGTATCGTTATGTGCCGCAAGGGAGTTTCAGAAGGAGTCTTTGCACGCCTCTTTTGTGTTTGCAGTAGTGAATAAGGGATTCACCGGTTCTGTGAATGACATTCCAGAACATTTAAATTCCCTTTTGAAGGAGTTTTGTGATATCATGCCTGAAGAGCTTCCCGCTAGATTGCCTCCGCTTTGAAATATTCAGCATCATATTGACCTCGTACCTGGAGCCACTCTTCCTAATCTTCCTCATTATAGGATGAGCCTAACCGAACATGAAATATTATGGGAGCAGGTGCAGGATTTATTACATAAGGGGTACCTTAGGGAGAGCATGAGCCCATGCTCAATGCCAGCCCTCCTGGTGCCTGAGAAGAACGGGACTTGGCAGATGTGTGTTGACAATCGAGCTATCAATAAAATACACATGATATGGGAAAGAATAATATATGAATTTGATTAAGAAGAAGTCGTAGCCGATGAGTTAAAAAAACAAATTGAGAAAATCAATGCTAAGTACAAGGCGGATGTTGATCGATACAGGTTAATAAAAATATTTATCGATGAAGCTACTACTCAAGCAACTATAAGCTCGGGGTCGAGCTTCTTTCAACAATGGGAGACTGATGTAGGACGCTTAATGGATAATTTCATGGAGGAGTGGGACAATCACGAGCTAAATTCAATGCTAGAGTCAAATTAGATTAGGAAACAGATTCAATTTTGATTCATGATTTGTTTCATCTATTATAAGGAGTCTTTTTAGGGTAGGATTTGATATTTTCTTTTCCTTTGTAATTCTAGTCTTACTATGAGTCTTGGTTGTTTTTCTATTTAAGAAGAGTCATGTAACCCAAACAAGAATATCATGGAATTAAATAAAATTTCTCTTGAAGAAAGTATTGGTGTGTTTTCTTGAGTTTGTGGAAGAAGTCCTCGTGGTAAGGCTTCTTTGTTTTCGTCGCTACGTCAGTTTAGCAATTTTTGGGAGAGAGATCATGATTTTCCCGTTATATCAAATGATATTTTGGTGCACAAAAAAATCTAACGAAATGTAGCAATATTGATTTGTACTTTTGTTTGTTTTATAAGGTCGATTAGTGATCTAAATATATATATATTATTTACATTTTGTATGCTTAGATTTAGGCCTGTCCATACAGATCGAGCAAAACTCGTGGCCTGGAACAAGCCCGGACCACCGGGCCGACCCGGTTATTTTATTTTATTTATTTATTTTTATTTTTTTGTTAAAAAAATTCAAGAGTAAATAACAATAAATTAAGCGATTTTTTGATAAAAATCAATAATATTATTAATCACTTGTAATTATATAACTTACAAATACAAAAAATCAAAAAAAAAAAGATAAAAACAAATTTTTTATTAATAATAAATTAATCACTAACAATTACAAATTTATTTTGGAATTTGTCGCATCACAATTATAGACTATATCATGCTAAGAGAGTGTGTGTGTGTTGTAACTTGAGAGAGAGAGAATCACATAAATATATATTATATGTATTTATTACATACTTACATTATGCTTATTTAAGTACAGTTATACAGTTTACTTATATGATATACTTTTATATATATTAAATGCAATATACTTATATATAACTATACTTATGCACTTATATATACTTATATAACTGTAATTCTATAATATACACATATAAATATACTTATAACTACATTATATATATTTATATTCTTATATCTTAGTATCTATACCATACTAAGAGTATGTATATATATATACACACACACGTATACTTACGTACTTAAATGCATACAAATGTATACACTTAGGACTATGATTCTATGAAGCTATGGCCATTTTCCTCAAAAAATCATATACACACACACTAACACACACACACATATACATTAATGACCATATCATTATATAATTTTATATATATATATATATATATATATAATAACTAGATTTCATTAAGTACGTTGAGGTTACATTTTAGTGCACTATACTATATATGCAAACATCCATTTTGGCATTCCGATATTTACCACATATCCCCAATATTTTCCAAATATCCGCAATCCGATATGAATTTTGGCCATCCGATATTTCCCCAATATTCCATATTTAAAACCTTGTTTACAACTGCATGGATGATATTTATAATAGGCTTAACATAAACTTTTTGCTAATATTGATGTATATTGTACACTTCAGGGTTATATGCTGAACATATTGCTGCATTAACTATAACATGTGTGTGTATCCAATGTCAGATTTGTGATTTGATTATAAGGAGTATCAAAATCAACATGCTATCTTAATGTGATTATTGATTATTTTCGGATCTGAAGCAAACTACATCCCAGTGATTTGATAAGCGTATCCAAGTGATCAGTGATTGGGTATCTTTTTAAGTGAAAAAATCGTAGTCATGCTTACCATAAACATCAAGTTCACTAGAGTTCAAGCTAGCTTGAAAGGGCCATGTAGTTCGGAATTCAATAGGAATCCATCGCTGACTTTTGCTTCCTCCAATGCAGGGATTGAGTGGTTGGTATAAAGAAGATTCGAGATCATTGCTCTTATCACACACAGAGGGTCCAGATTTTCTGCAGGTTAATTTCAGTTGAAGACCCTATACCCCACTCAGTAAATAATCATGTCGGAATATGAATAAAAAGCTTACCTAGAGCTGTAACATTTCTTTGTAGCTGTCTTTTTCCACATTACTGTTTCATCTTGTTGTG